TAACCTTTTGGAAAATGTTAATTATATATACCATTTTTGTGTCACAGGTATGTTGCACTGAATATTTTATAATTTACTCTTAACGGCCTTCACACGGCAAACTAAAGTTTGACAACACATGTTGTAATAATAATGTTGTCAAACTCAAGTTTGAGAGTGTGAACATTCCAACAATTCGCCACCAACACCGATTTCAGAGTTGTCAAACTGTTGTCGAGAAATATGATCGGTCTCTATTCCCACCAACTTTTCCATCAAACTTTTGGTGTGGTCAAAATCGAGTTTGACGACTGAAGTGTTGGTAAACTCGTGGTTCAGAAACAACCAATCGCAGTCAACGAAATTGTCACGTGACCGCACCGATAGAGACATGCTGCTTAAATGACATGGAAGTTTGACAACAGGTGTTTGACGTGTGAAAAAGCGAGCTTGATAACTTTTAACATGTCAACATCTGTTGTCAAACTTCAGTCTGCCGTGTGAAGGCCGCTTTAGTCTGTGATACTCCACTTCACAGTGGTGATAGACTGACTTCAGATGCTTTGTTCAAAAGACAAAGAGCTGGTCAGTGAACACATTTTGTAAGTTAGTTAAAGCCAACTAAAATGAAGACTGGGTAGCCTTTAGGAGTGGCCTTGCTGAGTTTGTCTCTTGATTGTTGCTCATGTTATCTGACACTGGTTTGTCTGGTCCAGATTGTATGCAAACAATACATTCCCTAATTAACTCTCTTGAGTGAAAAACAAAATAGTCATTTTACAAGAAATGTTTTCTTCCAAAAACATTTCTTCTCTTTTGATTATAATACATAACTGTTTTTTGTGAGCACCTTGGTTGAAAAAATGTCGACTTAGTCTAGCTATTGTAATAGCTTTCTGGAGCACATGAATTATGAACGTATGAAATTGATATTCTGAAAATATCAAGATTTCCTCTGGCACTTGATTTTTTGTTTGTCAGAAAGCAAATGCCTGTTCAAATTCTTTTTGCAGTGTATTCAACAAGATTCCATCAGTGATCTTTGGCTGTAAAGTATACAAATATCACTGCCAGATTAACTTGAGTCTAGATTATCAGATTTGCATTAACCTATTTCTGTTCCTACCTGCATATTTATAACGCTCATGTCTGCACCTAGCATTGATTGCCCAGATGGTATATCAGTTAATTACCTCTAAAATCAGCATCACAGAATGGTTGTACAGTGTATAGATTGCCCTTGACAGCGGGCGAAGTTAGAACAGGGAAATTATCAAATATTATCAAATATTCATGCAAATGCACAGTTACTGAATGAAACTACATAATTTCCTGATAGTGTGCATAATGTTAGAGTTTTAGTTAAGAAAAGCATTTTATTTAAGTTCTATTTTTAGATTTGTTAGTTTCAGTAAATTAGCCATATTTAGTTTGTGTGCTAAATTGCCTAATCAAATGTATGATTATGTTATATTTTACTCTCTTCAAAGTCCCATAGACTACTAGCATGAGATGCATGGTAGTAATGTGATAGTAATGAGCAAGGTGAAAGGTGGATTTGTAAACAACCATCTTGATTCATCATCAGTATTCAGCCTATTGTGTATGTGACAGACTGTGGAAGTGTATCAATGTTGCAGCATCTCATATCTATACATCTAGCATATATGGATAGCACCTGTCCCACACTAAGCTCATCACCGTGGAACGTCCATGTGTTGGAAGTCGTCGTGGCCATTGCGCCTAGTGTGAGTTATTGATCACTCGGCAACACGGACCGCAGAGTATTGGACGCATGTTGTGATAGCATATACTGGGACTTCTTCCTGTGTACATACAGCTCTGTCGCAATCAACGATGCACATGTGCTTGGGTGTACATAGATGAATAGGAGACAAGCATGCATGTATCTGATTACTGTCCTCGCCGTCGGTCCTGATAGCTGCTGTGTCAAATGCTCAAGGTGGGTATTGCCAGGTAGAGTTTGGATACCTTCAGGTACTGTGGATGTTACTGCCAGGTACTGTTTGATTACTGCCAGGTACTGTGGGTGATACTGCCAGGTACTGTTTGATTACTGCCAGGTACTGTGGGTGATACTGCCAGGTACTGTTTGATTACTGCCAGGTACTGTGGGTGATACTGCCAGGTACTGTAGATGTCAGTGGGTGATACTGCCAGGTACTGTGGATGTTACTGCCAGGTACTGTAGATGTTACTGCCAGGTACTGTGGGTGATACTGCCAGGTACTGTGGATGTTACTGCCAGGTACTGTGGATGTTACTGCCAGGTACTGTGTTGAGATGTTGTTACCAGGTACTGTGGATGTTAGGTTACCACCAGGTACTGTGGATGTTACTGCCGGGTACTGTTTGGATACTGACTGTGGGGTTACCATTTGATGTTACTGCCAGGTACTGTGGATACTGCCAGGTACTGTACTGTTACTGCCAGGTACACAATGGTTGTTACTGCCAGGTACTGTGTAATTGATACTGCCAGGTACTGTGGTTTGTTACTGCCAGGTACTGTGGTTGAGTACTGCCAGGTACTGTGGTACTGTGGTTGTTACTGCCAGGTACTGTGGATGTTACTGCCAGGTACTGTGGTGTAATTGTTACTGCCAGGTACTGTGGGTGTTACTGCCAGGTACTGTGGTTGTTACTGCCAGGTACTGTGGTTGTTACTTCCAGGTACTGTGGTTGTTACTGCCAGGTACTGTGGGTGTTACCACCAGGTACTGTGGATGTTACTTCCAGGTACTGTGGATGTTACTGCCAGGTACTAAAGATGTTACTGCTAGGTACTGTGTTTGAATACTGCCAGGTACCATTTGAATACCACCAGTTACTGTTGGTGATACTGCCAGGTACTGTGTGTTGTGTTACTGATATTATCCAGTCCTAAACCATACTGGATGGGGGTGAGGTAATGTTGTCATGAGGAGGCAGTTTGTTTGGGGTGTAGTATTACAAATCGGAGTGCTTTCTGTTTGGGATCTGGCTTTTCTCACCGACAACATTGACTATCCATATCTTCAAGATCAAGTGACACATACAAGGATCCATTTTGATGTTTGTTTTATGATTTGGTATATGTATGAATAATATACACTAAATAGTCATGAGACATTGATTGTTCCTTCATTGGAAGATGTGTTATTTTATTCATTTTTTTCACTGTGTTGCTTGATTGGAATGGAGTTAACAGACTAGATATAGGCGGCAATAGTTTAAATGCTCTACGTATATTTCTAGGATTCATTATTAAATATTCAGGCTCTTCATATATTTCGCTGTACATACAGTAAACTGATTTATAAAGAACAAGCTAATAACAATCCATTTGGGGGTTTCAGGCCACATGCTGTATGTTTTAGTCAAAATGTGTATGGCTAACTATATGGTCATAGCGAACTAAAATTAGTGATCTCTTTGAGTTTGTTATAACCATAGTAATTATAGTTCTGCCGTCACAGTTTACAAGTTCTCGTGATTGTTACTATTTCCCACACTGTAATGTCATATTGTAAATGATGCCATCACATGTAATGCTGATATATGTAATATAAACGTAATTTCCTCTTTGTGACATCATCTGGCTGCAGTAGCTAGGATTTGTGTGTTTTGGTCCTAAGGATCATATAGTATGAGGTTGGCTTTGTTCATTGTGGACTTGAAAATGATGGGACCCATATCCTGCTTAACAACAAAAATATGGGGTATTCAGAAAATGTGATGGCTGTGAATTCATACCAGTTCTGTCTGACAGTCTGAGGTACAGATAAAGTTCAAGCCAATTCCTTTGATAAGTGTGAGGTGCATACTTAATTTTGGAGTCCTCATTTGACGGCTAGCTTGCAAAATATCAATTGCCATTCCTTACATTTATCTATTTCATCATGATCTTCTTGTGCTCTTGTGTTGTTGTTTTTACCAAAATGAAATAGTGTCCTTTGACCCTGATAACTCAACCAGGCTTTGCCAAGCTCATGAAATATGCATAGTGTAATATGATTGGCTTCTACGTGTGATATGGACCAATCACTGAGCTTGATATAATTATTTTTTGTGCAGCTACCTGACAGCATTTCATGAGCATCACATTGTGTAATTATTTCTCTGTACAGTAGGGTTGGCTCTGAATATGTTTAATGTATTGCAGTAATTGTAAGTTCGTGATTTGGAGTTTCAGCATAATTACAACTTGTTGTTTTGTTACACTGTATTTACTTTTATAAGGTATTATGGTAGACATATGGAGGACAGCAAAATGTGATGCATTAATGGCAAAAATGATGTCTGATACGATTCCCTATTTTGACTTTTACCACACATTTTTCAGGTGAACAATTGTCTAGCCTTTGCATGTGTTTATGACGGGTGCCACCAATGGGGCAAGATACGCTCACCGTTACATAATACCTGGTATCATCACTAATTGATAGTGATTCATAAACACATGCTCTGTCACCGTATCTCATGATGTCAAACATGATATGAGCCAAGTTCATGATATAACCTTTACTATAGCTTAACTATCCCATGTTCATGATATAACCTTTACTATAGCTCAACTATCCCATGTTCATGATATGACATTTACTATAGCTTAACTATACCATGTTCATGATATAACCTTTACTATAGCTCAACTATCCCATGTTCATGATATAACCTTTACTATAGCTCAACTATCCCATGTTCATGATATAACCTTTACTATAGCTTAACTATCCCATGTTCATGATATAACCTTTACTATAGCTCAACTATCCCATGTTCATGATATAACCTTTACTATAGCTCAACTATCCCATGTTCATGATATGATCAACAGTATGGGTCAGCTCCAAATTAGTTCATGATGAAGTCAGCTGAAAAAGTCAACTATCAAGTGTTCAAGATTTCATCAATATTCATTACATATGTTAATGGTACTACCAGTCAAATAATTCATTAACATGAAATCTTATTGAAAACATATGAATCGTTAATAATGTAATTGTATTGTATTTCAGTTATCCAGTTGACAGTATCGGCTGGGGATAACAAGATCATCACACTCCCGGAAAACACAGTCACTCTCTCGGCCTTCGTCCTGCCCAAACCTCTCAAAGGTATGTTATAATAGTTGCCTGTCCTTGTGACTTGCTTCAAACTGAGTACTTCCTGCATGAAAATGTTTGGAGTTGAGGTTCTTGAGTGCAGATTTGGTTGCACATGAAAATGTTTGGAGTTGATGTTCTTGAAAGTGATAATGTAGTTACACATGGAAAATGTTTGGAGTTGATGTTCTTGAGTGAAGATTTGGTTGCACATGAAAATGTTTGGAGTTGATGTTCTTGAAAGTGCTGATTTGGTTGCACATGAAAATGTTTGGAGTTGATGTTCTTGAAAGTGATAATGTAGTTACACATGGAAAATGTTTGGAGTTGATGTTCTTGAAAGTGCTGATTTGGTTGCACATGAAAATGTTTGGAGTTGATGTTCTTGAAAGTGCTGATTTGGTTGCACATGAAAATGTTTGGAGTTGATGTTCTTGAAAGTGATAATGTAGTTACACATGGAAAATGTTTGGAGTTGATGTTCTTGAAAGTGCTGATTTGGTTGCACATGAAAATGTTTGGAGTTGATGTTCTTGAAAGTGCTAATGTAGTTACACATGGAAACCTATAAAACCAATATATTTTGGGGGAATTGAATTGATAGGTGAGATAATACCACTAGCTGCAGAAGCTCCATTCTACAGATAATGACTCCTCCACTCACCAACCCACTAATAACTGACCCTGAACTATCTGACAAGAGAATGTCATGCAGGGAACAGTTCAGACCCTGATCTACATGTTATTTTAAGTACAAAATCCAAATGAGTTTTATTTTAAAAGCAAAAATATTCATCACATTATTATTTAAAAACAGAAAATGTCATTTGGTGTTATACCATTTTCTGTTTTTAAATAATAATGCAATGAATATATATGTATTTTAAATTAAACTCATTTGGATTTTGTACTTAAAATGATTATGAATGCAGATTTGATCTCGTCACTATATGGCTGAAATAATGCCAATGTGACGTAAAACCCAACTCAACTCAACTTAACTTACTTATAATCTGCCTTTGATCTGCTTGTGATCTCCCTACCTTCAGTTTTTGGTTTTCCTCGATCCTTCCATGTTCTACAACATGTTTTACTTGGAATCTACATATGATCTGTTTGTCATATGAGTGTGATCTACTAATGATCTGCTTGTATGATCTAGCCATGATCAGTTTGTGATCTTCCTAATGCTCTCCTTGTGATCTACTCATGATCTATTTGCGATCAACTGTGTTCTACCTGCATTCACACATTGTTAACAAGCTCTTAATGATTCCCTATACACTATATAGACCAATCAACATGAGATATCTGATCAAATATAGAACATACAATATCATTACAAAATATCTATGCTCTCTGATATTCTATTTTTTAACTATTATTAGGCCAGACCAATTGTATTCCTTGTTTTACGGATTTTTGTCCTCATAAAAAGTAAAAGGCAGGAGGAATAAAAATAAAATCACCAGTCAAAGTAATATTCCTTCTAAATACTCAAAGTATTTTACTTTTGGCAAGTTATGAAGTGGATATGGGGCAAAAAACAATCTAAAAAAAACTTTTTCTGTAAGTTTACTTATTTGGCCAATAAAAACATTAGGATTTAATTTTTTGAGTGGGGAAAATTAATTTTTATTTTTTTTCTTATTCTTGAAAAAATATGACAGGCGGGTCCGTAAAACAAGAAATAAAATTGGTCTGGCCTTATCTGTATATACAACTCCAGTGTCAAGACATTCATGATAATGTGCCAACATTGCCTGAATGATGCCAGTTCCTCACCCAGACAATACAACAGTGTAATGTCAGTTGAAGGCAACAGGTGTTGCCACTTAAATCAAAGATGGTGACGTACATAACGCTACTGCACAGGTTACGATGCCAACCCTCATACAGCTGTCTCAGTTCGCTGGCAGTGCATCATCAATTATTTCTCAGGTTGGCATGTCACATGGTAACTTTATGTATTGAACAGACGCAGTTTTAATAATCATATTCCAGATAAGTAATGTGCTGGGAAATTTTCTTCAGATTTTCAAATTTTAGCATGATGAAGTTTAGGAACGTAATTATGTATTCCTGCTTGTAACATTTGAGCATTTGCTTATGTTTGTTGAATATTTTACAGTTTGTTCAAAGCTGTTAGTGGTAACACATAGATCCTACGTAATAATTCTTGTTGATAAAACAAAGCACAAAACTCTTCTGTTCAGTGTTTTTGAGATATGAAGATCATGTGATAGTGAACAGTTTTCAGTTTGCTTAAAGTTTCAAAGGTAATCTTTGAGAAAATTGTTGAAAAAAAGCAATAAAAATATCAAGCAATGAGTGTGGGTGTTGGTGTTGCACATATGAATAGACCTTGATGGGCGAAATGTAACTATTACCAGTAACTCATGAGCCATGTAATTCTATCAATTGATTTGTTCCCGACAAGGGATCCAGGTTTGTTACCTTGTCAGCAACATGAGAAAGGTCACTCCAAACAGTCCGTCCAAAATCTGGCAAACTGACAATGGCCCATCACTCAGTTATTCCTTGGTGTGTGGCATGTTTTGTTAATTTCAACATTGAGTTACACAAGTTGCTGTTACACTGTTTGATTTCCCTGAAGTAGTTATCAGCCAGAAAGTAAAAATGATTTTTGAAGAAGACCAGTTATAACTAGTCAAACACTTTCATATGTTGGATGAATTATTCACAGATCAGAAATACTTATGTTTAACCACGATATGCCATAAGGTTCTATAAAATACTGTTCAATATATGTTTGTGTTTGTTTATGTGTTTGGTACACAACAAAATGTAATAGTAATAAACACAGATGGTATAAAACTGTTTACAATAAACATATGTACAGTATAATGTAGTTATAATGACATACTTGAATACAGTTATAATGACATACTTGAATATAGTTATAATGACATACTTGAATATAGTTATAATGACATACTTGAATATAGTTATAATGACATACTTGAATATAGTTATAATGACATACTTGAATATAGTTATAATGTCATACTTGTCCCAACTCCTTTACTATATATCTTCATATATTTTTCATTTAATAAATTTTGTTAAAGTAATGTCTACAAGGATGGAAAATAGCACTTCCTGCTAGCCTGCATAACTTTGGTTGATGTTAATGGTATCCTAACAGCTAGTAGAATTTCAAACAGTTTGTTGGGTTCTGTGCTGTTACCACTGGTTGGCCTAGTAGAAGTTCTAGGTTAATGTCCAGCCCTGAGAGACACACAGTATTTACTGATGTGGGTAACTAAACTCGACCAGTGTCAGTTGCCATCAGCGGTGTTTCAAATGTCTTGCATGTAAGAGGAGTGAATCTCACTAGTGACAAGGTAGTGTCATATCTAAATGGTCTCAGCGGATTATTTCAACTTTGTATGTTTCTAAATTCAATCATGGGTCATCTTGACATGGAATGCTTATTAACGATGTTTTAAAAAAGGATTTGTCAGCATATTACATGGTGTTCAAATAAAATATTGTAACAAGTTTTTAGCTTTAACAAAGATGAAGAGACGAAAACATTTAATTTTTTTTTTCACGTGTTGACCTGTCGTGATCATATCTGAGATCTGATGTTGAATCTAAATTCTGTTTCACATTCTGTTACCCATTTGTCTAAGGCTGTATCCTTGTTTGTCCAGTGTATTTGTCTCCACACTGATAACTGCCCCTGGCGGTAGCAGGATGTAAAGCCTTGTGTAGATGGGCATTATTTACCAGTCCTAGTATTCCAATGTTTGGAAGTTTCAGTAGGTAACTATGGATTTCTTGACTTGCTGAGTCAGCAACAGAACCAAGGCATGTGTTGCAGCTTGTCTCCACAGGATGTGACACCATGTATTCTTTGCAGTGAGAATCTCAGAACAACAAATTTGTCATGTGGAAATGTAGTTGTGGATCTGCCATGTGTGGTTGTCCCAAATGTGTGAATGCAGGTGTGGAAGTGTTGTGTCTGAATGCAGGTGTGGACGTGTTGTGTCTGAATGCAGTTGTGGAAGTGTGTCTGAATGCAGGTGTGGACGTGTTGTGTCTGAATGCAGGTCTGAAGTGTTATGTATGAATGCAGTTGTGGAAGTGTGTCTGAATGCAGGTGTGGAAGTGTTGTGTCTGAATGCAGGTGCAGAAGTGTTGTGTCTGAATGCAGGTGTGGAAAGTGTTGTCTGAATGCAGGTAGAAGTGTTATGTCTGAATGCAGTTGTGGAAGTGTCTGAATGCAGGTGTGGAAGTGTTGTGTCTGAATGCAGCAGTGTGTCTGAATGCAGTTGTGGAAGTGTGTCTGAATGCAGTGTATGAAGTGTGTCTGAATGCAGGTGTGGAAGTGTTGTGTCTGAATGCAGGTGTGGAAGTGTTGTGTCTGAAGTGTTGCAGTCTGTGCAGAAGTGTTATGTCTGAATGCAGTTGTGGAAGTGTGTCTAAATGCAGGTGTGGACGTGTTGTGTCTGAATGCAGGTGCAGAAGTGTTATGTCTGAATGCAGTTGTGGAAGTGTCTGAATGCAGGTGTGGACGTGTTGTGTCTGAATGCAGGTGCAGAAGTGTTATGTCTGAATGCAGTTGTGGAAGTGTGTCTGAATGCAGGTGTGGACGTGTTGTGTCTGAATGCAGGTGCAGAAGTGTTATGTCTGAATGCAGTTGTGGAAGTGTGTCTGAATGCAGGTGTGGAAGTGTTGTGTCTGAATGCAGGTGCAGAAGTGTTATGTCTGAATGCAGTTGTGGAAGTGTGTCTGAATGCAGGTGTGGACGTGTTGTGTCTGAATGCAGGTGTGGAAGTGTTGTGTCTGAATGCAGGTGTGGAAGTGTTGTGTCTGAATGCAGTTGTAGAAGTGTCATGTGGGTTGTCATGGTCTGAAATGTCTACTTTGTACTGCCTTTTGGAAAATGTTTTTGTTTGGAAATCAAATGTTCTTGCTTGTTTCTGTTTGTATTGTTTTGAAGAGAAACAGTGGAGAGGTATGACGTCCTTATTTCCATTAACTGATCTTGTACTTGTGTCAGTATAAACCGGCATTTTTCATGTTTTATGTTTTATTTGATAAGATCCTTTTGCTTCATATACCTCAGCCATGTAGTCAGAGAGTTTTTTTTAATATTATTCTTGATATTTTTCACTTAACAACCTTTGTGGAAGAAGAATATAGAAATCTCTTCCTGACTCAATCAGAAACATAGTTTAATGTATCTGAATAATAGATGTAGTATAGGGTATGTGTTTATCTTCGGATATATCCTCTGTTATGTATCCTAAAACCATCACCACAGGTGAGTCAATTACTACCCATATGCATTATGCATTATTCAAAGAGAATTTATCAACTGGAAATATGAACATAGCCAGCTCAGGTGCTGCTTGGATAAAATATCATGCTGGGAGGCCAGCTGTTGCCGCTCCGTTTCTGCATTAGTAGCAGTTTCTGGATGGTTCATGCTGAAAATAAATGAATGTCCAATTAGAAATAGAGTTATAGTGAAGATATGTTGGTATTGGGACCCATAAGTGGAAAATCTTCTCAGTATGTGGTATGAACGATTTATCAGAGTTGTAGTAATTAGCTATATTGAAGAATTAAATTACTGCTGAATCTGGCTTAGACAACATGTGCTGTGGAAATGTGAGGAATCTGATGAATTTGTAGGCTGAGATAGATGTACAGGGTCTCATATGTTTCCTGACATAATCTTTTGGCCTTCTTGTTTAATCGGTTGGTTTACACGTGCTTGTACCTCAGTACTGGACTGCCTCCGTGGTGTAGTGGTTAGAGCGTCCGCCCGGAGAGCGGAAGGTCGCGGGTTCGATCCCCGACCGCGTCATACCAAAAGACGTTAAAATATGGTACTTGTTGGTCCCTGCCTGGCGCTTCAGCATTAATGGGTACAACAAGGACTGGTCGGCTCAGAGTCAGTATAATGTGTCTGAGTGGTGTATTCATGCTTCACTGCGGGTGGTATCTCAGTGGGCTAGCACTATAAAACCAGCTTCAGTCTGGGCTAGTACAAGCAGCCGCACATACACATACACACGCATGCACGTCGTCATATGAGCGAAATATTCTCCAGCACGACGTTAAACCCAACTTCACCTCACCTCACTTCACCTCCTCCTCAGTACCCTTGATTAGTAACAGTATAGAATATATATCCTTCCGTTTAAAATTTATTTTTTTAAACAACGGTAACTTGGATGAAATAAAATATCAAATTCAAATAAAAATCAAATATCAAAGTTTCATATGGCGTTATATGTGATCTTGTATTGATGTAGATGAGGACCCTTATATGTGATCTGCTGGTTGTATTGATGTAGATGAGGACCCCTATATGTGATCTGCTGGTTGTATATGTAATCTGCTGGTTGTAGATAGATGAGGACCTCTGTATGTAGATCTGCCCCCTGTATGTGATCTGCTGGTTGTATTGTTGTAGATGAGGACCCCTGTATGTGATCTGCTGGTTGTATTGTTGTAGATGAGGACCCCTATATGTGATCTGCTGGTTGTATTGTTGTAGATGAGGACCCCTATATGTGATCTGCTGGTTGTATTGATGTAATCTGCTGGTTGTATTGTTGTAGATGAGGACCCCTATATGTGATCTGCTGGTTGTATTGTTGTAGATGAGGACCTCTATATGTGATCTGCTGGTTGTATTGTTGTAGATGAGGACCTCTATATGTGATGCTGGACCCCTATATTGATCTGCTATTGTATTGTTGTAGATGAGGACCCTATGATATGTGATCTGCTGGTTGTATTGTTGTAGATGAGGACCCCTATATGTGATCTGCTGGTTGTATTGTTGTAGATGAGGACCCCTGTATGTGATCTGCTGGTTGTATTGTTGTAGATGAGGACCTCTATATGTGATCTGCTGGTTGTATTGTTGTAGATGAGGACCTCTATATGTGATCTGCTGGTTGTATTGTTGTAGATGAGGACCTCTATATGTGATCTGCTGGTTGTATTGTTGTAGATGAGGACCTCTATATGTGATCTGCTGGTTGTATTGTTGTAGATGAGGACCTCTATATGTGATCTGCTGGTTGTATTGTTGTAGATGAGGACCCCTATATGTGATCTGCTGGTTGTATTGTTGTAGATGAGGACCTCTATATGTGATCTGCTGGTTGTATTGTTGTAGATGAGGACCCCTATATGTGATCTGCTGGTTGTATTGTTGTAGATGAGGACCTCTATATGTGATCTGCTGGTTGTATTGTTGTAGATGAGGACCTCTATATGTGATCTGCTGGTTGTATTGTTGTAGATGAGGACCTCTATATGTGATCTGCTGGTTGTATTGTTTAGATGATTATTGTAGATGGTTGGGACCTCTATATGTGATCTGCTGGTTGTATTGTTGTAGATGAGGACCCCTATATGTGATCTGTTGGTTGTATTGTTGTAGATGAGGACTCTATATGTGATCTGCTGGTTGTATTGTTGTAGATGAGGACCCTATATGTGATCTGCTGGTTGTATTGTTGTAGATGAGGACCCCTATATGTGATCTGCTGGTTGTATTGTTGTAGATGAGGATGTGATCTGCTATATGTGATCTGCTGGTTGTGCTGGTTGTATTGGTTTATTTGTAGATGAGGACCTCTATATGTGATCTGCTGGTTGTATTGTTGTAGATGAGGACCTATATGTGATCTATATAGATGTGATATATGTGATCTGCTGGTTGTATTGTTGTAGATGAGGACCCCTATATGTGATCTGCTGGTTGTATTGTTGTAGATGAGGACCCCTATATGTGATCTGCTGGTTGTATTGTTGTAGATGAGGACCTCTATATGTGATCTGTTGGTTGTATTGTTGTAGATGAGGACCCTATATGTGATCTGCTGGTTGTATTGTTGTAGATGAGGACCCCTATATGTGATCTGCTGGTTGTATTGTTGTAGATGAGGACCCCTATATGTGATCTGCTGGTTGTATTGTTGTAGATGAGGACCTCTATATGTGATGTGCTGGTTGTATTGTTGTAGATGAGGACCCCTATCACTATGACTGGTCACTGGTTACCTTCCCTGAAGGAGCAGAGACTGGAACCATGGAGGGCAAGAATACAGACACTCTGAAACTGTCTAAAGTAAGTATATAGCAGTGTATCAATAAAGTTTGTATGTGTTGATGCCAATTTATGAATGCCATTACTAAATTATTTAAAATTCACCACCACAAGAATTTACATTTAAGATTAACAAGCTAATGAAGGACAATGTGAAGGGGAAAACTTCTATTTTTTTGTTCAATTGATCAGTCCAGTTCCTATTTAGCATTACATGGATGAATTGCAGGACTAGATGAGACATTCTCTCTAAACACATACAGAATGTGATCTAATCAGGCAAGTGATGCGACATACATGTGTTGCATGCCTCACTATATATATAGAACCATGTGCCTTGTTCTTGTCATTAAATAGTATACCTGTAATGACGGTGTACTTCCCTTGCGTGCTTTATATTATTCAGTCCAGATTCAGAGAGACGTTCATCCTGGTTATAGGTCAGGACTTGTGCATGCAAGTTGAAATGAATATTTTGTAAGCTGCTTTCAAGTACATGCAAGACCAGTTATGAAAACATCAAATGACTTTAAAATTCCTAGGTATTTAAATGAATAAATATTTATGCATATTTTGTATACAACTGCCTCAATCAATACGCCTGAAATAAGGTTTAGCTGTCACAGCTGTTGTTATGCTCATCGTTAAATATTTCAAAGGTGAAAGGTCAAACATATTTTTTCATTTTGCTATATTAGTTTAAAGTAGTAAAGTATGTTAAAATAATGATGCACGTATGTATACACTTTATTCAGTACTGAGCATGTGTAACCATGGCAACAGATTTGCCTGGTGACCATTCTGAGATCTCTTGTACAGACAAAATAACAAATGCGTCACACACTGCAGAGAAGGCTGGCGTCTGCTGTATTTGCTTACCAGCTATTGTTCGTGTGAATTATTCCTGTAATGTAATTGAATTTGTTATTGGAAGTTCTTTCGTCCGTCCGTCACCTCATTGATTAATTACTAAATTGTTTTCATGGGTATAATGTACTGGGAATATATGTCAAGAGAAATAAATAAATTGCAAGTGATTCCATGGCATTTGATTGGCTAAACATACAGTTTTTCTGCAGTTTTCATGAACTCAAAACGGATAAGACCATGCCAACTCTCTGACTGTGGTTTGCTGATTGCCTGACAGAATGGAGGGTCTTGTGTTGCATTAGTTTGTTGAACAGTGCCACTGATTTCATATTGTCTATAGTTTTGACTGTGTTTTTATAATAAACAGTCTGTGAAATTATTATGTTGATATATTTATTAATATAAGAACTGATTTCAATATGGTTTTCTGCTAGCTACGACATCACTATTTTTTAATTTAAATGTATTGTCTATACTATGCAGATTTTCACAGAGTACACTTAAAAAACATTTATATTGACCCTTGAAGGTCTGGTTAGAATTGATCTTCAGTAACCCATGCTTGTCATAAGAGGCGGCTAACGGGGTCGGGTGGTCAGGCTCGCTGACTTGCTTGACACATGTCATCATATCCCAATTGTGTAGATTGATGCTCATGCTATTGATCACTGGATTGTCTGACCAGATCCGATTATTTACAGACCGCCGCCATATAGCTGGAATATTGCTGAGTGCGGTGTAAAACTAAACTCACTCACTCACTCTCAAGTCCATGCGATGTTGTCAACTTTCATGTCTTGAATACTCAGTTGTTCATGTTTATCAACCGCTAGTTTGCAGCATCCACATTTGGTTGTGCCAGTCTCCTGTGACATAGATGGAATATTGTTGACTGTCATGTAAAACAGTATTCACACTGTCCCTCTCTGTTTCAGCTGATAGCTGGACTGTACACACTGAAGATCACAGTGACGGGAGAAAACAAGTATGGCGAAGCTGTCGTCACTGTCACAGTGCAGCCTCGTATGTATCTGTCAATCACTGTCATCATCTCCTTTAAAATTTTAACGAGTTCTCTGAATTAAGATCACATTTACATTCTTCCGTTGTGATTCCCACTGGAAATGATGTGGTAGAACTGTGGTACATTGTACAACTGCACCATGACCGTATCTGATTGTCTGTATGGAGATTCTGGGATGGAATCAGTGTGTGAAATAGTTTCCAATTTTGCTAACCAGTTGGGCTGGCTATGCCTTAAAGTTACTAGCCTACAAAATAATTCATTAGCCCAACATTTGAATGTAAAAACTAAGCAAAAGATTACAAAAAAAGGTAAAATACCATCAAAAACAAATACGAAAACACATGTCTGAATTCATGAAATTCACTAGCCAGTCAAGGCCAGTGACTGAGATTTACTGGCCCAACTGGACGCTATTTCGCACACTGGGTGGAATATTTAACAAACAGCCTGTTAGTTCGTTTTTTATACAGAATTCCAAACTAAGTACCTATATCAGGCAAATTGGTAAAAAACATTCTTTCTGTTTTTATCTTAATTCTAAATTTCAGAGGGATAATAATAATTATCATGTTTATTGGTCTCTACAAGTTTCGATTCCCCCACATGGGTACAATGTGAGAAGCCCATTTCTGGTGTCCCCTACCGTGATGTTGTTGGAATATTGTTAAAAGCAGCGTAAAATAACACTCACTCTCTACAAGTTTTGAGGTACCACCTGGAAAACACATTCTTTGTGGCCTTTACTATGTTTAAATATTGCTTGATGTTGTGTAAAACCTTTTCTATTTACTACCAGGTTTATTGCTTCTTGTGTTAGTGGGGGCGGTGGGTCAGCGTAGAGGTTAAAGCGTTCGTTCGTCACGCCAAAGACGGGTTCGATTCCCCACATGGGTACAATATGTGAAGCCCATTTCTGGTGTCCCCCGCCGTGATATAGCTGGAATATTGCTAAAAGCGGCGTAAAACTAAACTCACTCACTCACTTGTGTTAGTGATTATGGTTTACTGCTGTTCAGGAGAGTATTTCTGTTCTATCATTGTCTCTCACCTGTACATGGGAGGATAGTGCAGGTCAAGGACTACCACCACCTAATGACCTCACAACTCAGGGATGATCATTACTACATGAGATATGTTACATTGAATGCAAACTGAAATCTGTTGTATCTTCAGTCTTTCTACAATGATTGTTTCTGAACAAAATGTATCTTAATCTCCAGCTGCACGTACAAACACCCACCCAGTGGCCATTATCAAGCCCAAGACTCAGGTTGTCAAAACGACCAACTCCGCCATCTTGGACGGTTCAGGTTTGTGGTCTTTGAATAGCATGTGGCATGAAAATAGAGTCACAATGCAGTCGTATTGTAATAGATTTTATTGCTGAAAAGTTTTGTTGGTAGGTCAAAAGAAACAAATGAAATGATTTCAACATATTCTGTGGTGTCTGAAATTTTGTTGGGTCAACATTACATTAAAGAAGACATTTCTTCTAAAAAAGTATTAGAATTATACACCAGTGTTTTTTTTCTTTCTGTCTTCTTTGTGTTTAGAAAAGCACTTTAACCTGTCATTTTGGAGAAAATTTGTATTATCTGAACAGTTTTTACTGTCAGCAGCATGCTAAACAATTTTCCCAGTTAACTTTTTACAAGGTCAGCTAATCCAATGATAACAGTATACAGAATTTGGTTTATTTTCTGATCAAGTGAATTCATTTCATGATTGATAAGAGATAAGAAGTGAATATGTAACTGTTGATGAAACATCACAAACCAATGATGTGGATGTTGATGCAGACAGCACAGACGACGACCGCATCGTCAGCTACCACTGGGATGAGGTGATCGGACCCCTGCAGGACCAGAGTGGCCAGGGAGAGGAGGCCATGATCACCCTGAAGAACATGGCCCCCGGCAACTACACCTTCAAGTGAGTACACAACCTGAACCACCAACAGGACCAGGCTGTAGGTAGGAAGGGTGCATTTTGTTATCACAAGTGATGGTAAACATTCAAGTGATAGATGAATGAAACATTTGGTAATGTTTGTATTATTATGGTCCAGACTCGATTATTTAAAGACCGCTGCCATATAGCTGGAATATTGCTGAGTGTGGTGAAAAACTAAACTCACTCACTCACTCACTCACCCACTCACTCACTCGTATTATTATTGCTGAAAACATATCTTTAAATGATTAAGGATTCCTACTTTCACTGACTATTGAAGCCTTTTGATATATCTGTCTTGTCTATCAGATTCCTAGTGTGTTGTCAAGTCCTAAGGCTGTTTCCTCCTTTGCAGATTGACTGTGACAGACTCTGATGGAGTGACAAATTCCACAACAGCTAATGTAACATTTATCAAGGGTAGGTAAAGCTTCAAGGGAAATTTCTGATAGCAATATAAGTAACATCCATTTGTGTAGAACATGGATAATTCCAGTAGGGGAATACTGGAGAAGGATGCTGTGTACGATGATTGTGATAATTCCCGTATGAATGGTATCTGGAGAAAGATATATTAGACTACTCAGTGTTGTAATATATGATGAGTTTACAAACATAGTTTTTGAACAGCTTGGATTATGTTGTTAGGATTGCCCTATGGTATGATTTGATTGGATATACAGCTGCATGTCATCTTGACCGGACAAGTTACAAAACTGTGATGGTGAATGGGTCCATGATAATAAAACATTTACATGTGATAAACAGGGGTGGTTGTGAAAGGTGGAATGAAATATTTTGAAGACCATCATGTCAGTGTTTTTGAGTTCCGATATTTGAGTCAGGTGTTGAACATTACAGAGACGGACTACCCCCCTAAGGCTAACGCAGGGTCTGATGTGGTGATCCACCTCCCTCAGTCCTCCGTGACGCTCTACGGGAACGCCAGCACTGATGATAGGGGAATCACTAGCTATGAGTGGATCAAGAAGGCGGACGATAAACTTGCTGTAGACATGACGGTAAGGGTGTGTGCTCGAGGGAGGATGGGTTAGAGCTGCTTGGAGCAACTTTCAAACTGGTGGTGCACTTCAAGATTCAACTTGGCACATTGTGGCATTGTTCACATTATAGGGGATTCAACCTCTGTATTTGCCTTACCAGGCCACAGTCACCTTCTTGTGCTGGTGTAGTGCTTAGCTAAATGTTTGTCTTTTGCCAGACCTTTGTTGTCCTTTTTACCTGTGTATAGCTGTCAACAAAAGTCTGGGTTGACATCTGCAAGTGCGTCATGTGTTTTCCTTATCCTGACTCATGCTCTTTTGCTTGTCTTCTTCTTCTTGCGAACATAGTGGAACACTTGTATCTCCCTAATTGAAGCCCCTTCAATTTAAAATCACTAATTAGTATTCACCACGAAGTTACCTCCTTTCCACAAGCTGAACGAGGGCCCACCTCTACCCATGTGCCTCACTCTTCCTTCTTCGCCCAGTGAGCTGGACGGAGAGCTTTGTGTCTCCCGACACACTATATCCTTTGATTATATTTAGTTAGTTACCTCAGATAGACATCTATAGAGGTTTAGCTAGTATCCTTCAACGATTATATATTGATATTTAGTCGCTTTTTCTACAGTTTATTCACGGACGCCGCGGTTTGTTTCAGTGGATTACGCTTGATGAAAATTCTGTACCATTGCAGATTACGCTTTTATGCTGCTGCTGATCCACCTTTAATATGATGTACGGCCATGTTTATTATATTCACATTGCAGTTGCGTACTAATTTATCCAATTCTACCTCTTTATTAATATTTACTTTGGCGCTTGGCACGCACAGCAGATAGGTCGCGATGCAGAGTCTAGTATGACTGATACACGGAACCCTCGCCAGTCTACTGCTGTTGGCCGACTCTCTCCCGTGTGGTGTTCCGCTAGAGTGGTGGAGAGGTGTGGGACGAGTCCGCCATCTCCAAGAAGCATTCTGCTTCCCAGACATCCCATCGCCGCAGCAGAAGACTAGAGGGTTTTTCTACTACATCTCAACAACCGGTGACCGCTCCCATCGGTTTGGGCCTGTATGATGATCAGCCGGTCATCATACCGATGTACATCAAAGATTGACCGATGTCGCACAGATCAGCATGCAGCCTGATGTACCAACGCAGATATATGATGATCGCCCTGAGGGTCCCATCATTACCAACACTCAACGCAGACGCCGCGACACCCAGGGCAGCGCCGACCTCTGAGGGAAAATCAACGAAGTCTACTAGGACTTTTCAACCGAGATTGTTCCAGCCGATGACCTGACTCTCTACGATGATCAGCTGATCATCATCCCCGACGACGCCACAAGAAACGACCGGGGATTAGCTACAACGACATCAGCAGAGATCACCATGCAGCCTGATGCCTCTACACTGATGTCGGACGATTTTCCGTGGACCCTCCATTAACACCGCAGATAAAGCACCGACGCACTTCGCCGCAGACCATCCCAGAAGACATGATGCGACAAATTATGAACATCATGGAGGACCAATATCTGCGTAGCAGGGTCCGAGTTTCGCTGAAGGCTCCAACGAGACAGCACCCCAGAGGCACCCCCGGCCAACGAGCAGCCAGGACGATGTCACCTTCGCAAGGAAGTCACGGACCACCTTGACGGCGACCTAGATGTACAGCTTCGCAAGGGCCTTCGCGAAGGCGAAAGGACCTAGATGTACAGCCTTCGCGGGGCGAAAGAACCTAGATGTACAGCCTTCGCTAAGGACTTCGCGAAGGCAGGATAGATCATCACCTTATGCGTTTCATCCCTAGATGTGGACTCGACCATCAGACATCACGGAAGCCTTCGCTGAAGGTCATATCGCCGCTCTCCGACCGACGAGAGGAAGCTTCGCAAGGCATGCCAAGGACACCTGAATCCAGATCATCATCATCTAGAAGGACATCGAGGGACTATACAAGAGCTTCACTAAACTATCAACGCTCCTCACAAGTCTCCCAGAAGATCAACCCATAGACAAGTTGATCATCGATATCAAGTATAAGAACTACAATCGATATTGGTTCTGTTGAATCCATGACGAGACGTGATGTTCGCTGGCCTAAATAGATCTAGAACGATCAATTAGACACTTATCACCAGACTTCGTGAATACTCCACTTCTGAATATGATAAGATGATCCATGCGCCATACTTAGGCAAGCGCCACGATCCCACATCCTGTTAAACACAGAGGCTGTTCACTTAAACAAGCCATATATATATTATATATATATATATATATATATACTAATCGGCTTTTGATTCGACACCTTCGCGATGGTCGCTAAGGCTAAGTGGCTCCAAGTCTACTTCACCCAGAAGATCTAGAAGGGATACTTCGAGAACTTCGCTAAGTCTCCGGCGCTCACCGAGGAAGTCTCCTCCAAGGTTTCCATATACCAGCCACTGGCCATATATAGCTACTGCCAGTCCGTTTCAAGACGCCGCATAAGTTGATTATCAACTGTATGCCAGATGCCGCCTATAAGCCTACGCTAAGATAATTGCTCAGGCTATTTACAACACAGAACGCCGCTGTATTATTAGTCAACGACATTTCATAGATCTTCACAGAAATCAACTATTCCGTGATAAATTGCTAATATACAACCCCGACGACGATACGATTATCTACATGCGACCATTACGCATATCTGCAGACAATTCAATATCGAAATTGAACAGCAGCCTTGTTACAGCCAGTATAACTCTTAATCGCCAAAGTTTCTGAGAAGAAATATGTACAACAAGTTCAACGCTAATTCTACAATTATGACGATACATTCATGTATACAGTCTACAAGCTCACAACTTGCAAGTTGTTTATACCCTTATATATAAGGAAGTCGGAATTATATTCAAAACTGAAATTACTTTTCACGACAACCAGGAAAATAACCTACCCAGCATAAAATTACAGAGCGAGATATTTCATACCGGAGGTTTCACAGGTTACCATTAACCCTCAAACACGTGGTCACCGGATAACTTCGAAGCTACGTGAAGACCGACGCTTATGCTAATATCAACTAATTTTACAAGAATTTATTCAAGGTGGGTTTTTCCCGCTACACCGGTGACATCACAGCTGGTATTATACAGAATCAAAATGCCTTGTTCTGATTGGACCGCTGAGGGACAACGACCTACACAGAGGTCGCATCTCTATTCACAGTTCAAGACTTACGCCACAAGTGACAACTATATATCAGTGAACGAAAGCAAGCCTCATTACAGTCCAGTTAACCTGAACATTCATGATTAGACTGCCTTTCTTCAAGATAGAGACCTCCCCTGTCAAGTTAAGACGAGGGATCGGCAGTCAGGCGATTTTACATAAAGTTCAACGAGGACAGACACACCTGGTTGTGCACCTACATCGCCAAGGACTTCGCGAGCTTAATTACCTAGACGAAAGATACAAGTGGATCTAAATCCACAGCTTCAGACTACAGCTGAATTTCATCGTTTAACTAACACAACTAGATGGTTAGTAAACCTACTAAACTTCTGTTTGGAGAATAAACGGAAATTTCACCAACCTGGGATATGAATATAGTGCTCCAACACCTCACAAGTGAGGTTTATGAACACGCTTGGATGACATACTTGGACCCCATGATACGATGATTCTATCAAGATGGCCAGCAAGAGCACTGTAAATTTATCTCCACCAAACCAAACAGGAGTAAAAAAAATGCAACAGATTATTTCCTCTATCATCAACTTACGCAGAGAGAAGTCTCATGTACTATATCTCCATTTGATCAGAACTGTCATACTACGCATATGCGGATGGACCTATTCCGACCCTCCATGAGCTTAATACTCATGATATTATAGCTTAACTTCTACAATTGTTCCACACAAATGTGATTGAAATATTGAGGGTTTATTTCTGAGATCCGATATGGTGGTTGCAAACCATTATCTGAGAGATATCACCACCGAGGACGCCTCAGGTATACACCAATTCGATCCCATGGTCCTCGACAACAGCTGACAGTTCTCGAGAAGATAAGTCAATCTAACAGATTTTACTTATCTTATAACAATACTAAATAGCTTCATGCTATATATAATTTACTTAAGTTCCTTTTATCATCACAGTACTATGATTATTACATCATACAATATATAAGTTAACAACTCTACAGAGTTTGTTATTATATATATTTACCTTAAGTTATTCATATCTTAAGAGTAATATTATGGTTACATGATAAATGCATCAGCTAACAAACTCTACAGAGTTTTTATTATTTTATACATAGCTTAAGTTAATTAAGCTAACAAACTCTACGGAGTTTTACTATTATATAGGTAACTTAAGCTAATTATACCTTAAGCATAGTACTATACTCATATTATTAAAATATATTGGCTAACAAACTCTAAGGAGTTTTGCTATTATATAGGTAGCTTAAGCTTATTCATATCTTAAGCTTAGTACTATGTTTATATCATATAAGTAGATTAGCTAACAAACTCTAAAGAGTTTTTGCTATTTGGCTTAAGTATCATCATATTTCTAAGCAATATGGTTATATTATAACATGTATTAGCTAACAAACTCTACAGAGTTTTAGCTATTATATATGTAACTTAAGCTTATTCATATCTTAAGCAGTACTATGTTTATATCATATAGGTATATTAGCTATCAAAACTCTAAAAGAGGGTTTTGCTATTATATATTTCGCTTAAGTTTCATCATATTTTAAGCTTTATAGTTACATTATAACATGTATTAGCTAACAAACTCTACGGAGTTCTTGCTATTATATATGTAGCTTAAGTTTTCCTTCATAAGCTCAATACTAGGTTTATATCATAGCTAACAAACTCTAAAGGGTTGTTTTCGCTTATTATACAATTAGCTTAAGTTTTCATCATATCTTAAGCAGTATGGTTACATTATAAAGTAGATAGCTAACAAAACTCGACGGAGTTTTGTTATTATATATATATAGCTTAAGTTTCATCATAACTTAAGC